CGAGCCCAGGCAGTAATCTGAACCATTTGCCTGGAGCAGGCTTGACAACCCAATCGGAGTGTGAGTGATATGGCTTTGGTCTAATGTTCTTAGCTCTTAGCTAATGTGGGAGAGAAGGGGGACAAGGCAAAGATCAGCCTAGCCCCGCCCCTCCCCCAACACTCAATTCTCAGCTCAATTATACACAGCGATGACTCAGTCTGGGCAGCCACAGGCAAAAACAAACTTCTGAAGGCCTTGGTGGCACACTAAAGCCCGGAAGGCCACGGGCAGACCACTCTTTGATCTAGGCAGACACCGCGTAGCTATGCATACCTCTTGCCTCTAAATGGTGCTTGCCACTGAGGAGTCACTGTTCTTCCTTCCAATATGGCCACATTGAACACATCTCCTTTTTCTACTTTCTGCCTACTTGTGTCCCTGATTGGCCTACTGAAGAACCACTGCAGATCCTTGCTGGTAAGGTCAGGCCCTGGCATCTCTGGTCACATTTCCAGTTCTTCGTGCCCTCCAAACAAATGCCACGACTATGCTTACTGCACATAGGGGGCAACTGTGTGGCTGCCTTTGGACAATGAAAAGTCAGCAAGTGATTCACTGCCTTCTGCTACACCTGACTGGAGGAGCCAATAGTGACATGCTGGTGGCATATGACTGGGGATAACACTATCCGTGGATGAGAGTCCCAGTGCATGGTGGTGAAAACTAGCTTTTGTTTTGAGATCTGGGGTCCCTTGTTGCCACAGCAACAGCAAATCCTGACGAACGGCCTTTGAGTCTGTCCCCTCCTTTCGTTACTGTGTTTAGATCACGTCATCTTTTCAGCTCCTAAACAAGTCACCATCTGTTGTCCTTATGTCCACTGGAACCTTACCGCTGCCCTGGTAGGGAATACATCGGGCAAAGTAGACAGCCAAAGTCTGAGAGAGTCTTTGAAGGGGGTGGGGGATGTGGAGAATTGGCTAAGTGGTAGGGGTTTAAGGGGTGTGGCACAGGTTTCCCCACTCATTCACCAGGCCCATGGGTACCGAGCACAGATCTTTACTGAGGACTCTCTTCATGTACGGAGCTGTATTCTACGGACTTGGACAGTGAGATGATTCAGATATGAAGACGCTCACAGACCATGAGGGAGATCCCCAAACTACAGGAGGAGGAGGGGATGCACAAGAGGGCAAGGGTAACACCATGAATGCTGCAGGGGAAAAGGCCAGCAATATGCAGAAGAACGGATAGCATTTGATTAGGGGATGTGGCTAGAGACTGTCAATCTTCAGGGCAGAGGCAAGCCTGTTGAAGGAGGATGCTGAGACAGGGTTATGGGAAACAGAGGTAATGAGCTTTAAAACATGAAAACCATTCCTCTTATTGGTTTTTTGTTGTTGTTTGGTTGGTTGGTTTGGCTTTTCAAGACAAGGTTTCTCTGTAGCTTTTGGAGCCTGTCCTGGAACTTGCCCTGTAGACCAGGCTGGCCTCAAACTCACAGAGTTCCACCTGCCTCTGCCTCCTGAGTGCTGGGAGTAAAGGTGTGCATCACCACCACCACCTGGAAAAATGTGTAGCCCAGGCTGGCCTTGAACTTGTAAACCTTCTGCCTCCGCCTCCTTCAGTCCATTCCTCTTAATGTCAGGAATGCCATACAGTATTTACAGTCCTTTCACAGGCAGTATTACCTCCCTCACCTCAGAGATAGTGAAAGCCAAACAGAGGGATTAATTAACTTGGCCCAAATCTTACATCAAGAAGAGCTGGATTAAAACTCTGATTGTTAACTCTACCCACCTAGTGTTCTTCGGTACCTCATAAGCATGGCACTGGTTGCTAGGTGTGCTTTGGAACACGAGGCAGGGGGTTAAAAGCTATACAAAGGGTAGTTATTAAAAAAAAAAAAAAAAGCCAAGTGGCTTTTTGTGCTGACCTGAACCCATGCAAATACGGGTCTAGATGGTGAGGTGTTGAGAGGGAGGATCTAGGATGAGAAGAAAAAGACAAAAGCTAGGACTGGGAGGTCTTACATAAACTGATGATTTATGCCAAGCAAGTTTATATAGTACCCCTTTAATCCCAGCACTCAGGAGGCAGAAGCAGGTGGATCTCTCTGAGTTTGAGGCCAGCCTGGTCTACAGAGTGAGTTCCAGAACAGCCAGAGCTACACACACACACACAAACACACAAAGAAGTACAGAATCTTTTGCACTATTCATAGGGAGAGAATGGGCCAAGGTCAGCAGAGACAGTGTTGGCATAGAGAACACAGGATTCCTTAGACCCAGCTGCCTTGGGACTGATAACCACAGCCCTTCAGGGGAGAAAGCGATTGTCTCCAGGAAAGATACCTTAACTCCTTCGAGGCCCCAGCCCCAGACCAGACCTTGCCAAGTCAGAAATTTGGCAAGGGCACAGAACTAGCACTGCCTTTGCCCTTTCATCTGATCCTCTGAGGAGGCCTTGGGTCAGCCTGGCTCCCAGCACTGTGCAAGGATGAGGCCTGGGGTTCAGATCCCTAGCACTCACACAAGAAGCTGAGCATGGCAGCACTGTTTTATAATCCCAGTGATGGGGAGGCAGGGATAGGAGGATCCCTGGGATTTGCTGGCCATCCGGTCTAACCAAATTGGTCCCAGCGAGGGACCTTTGTCTCAAAGAACAAGGTAGGGACTGGGGAAATGGCTCAGTGGCTAAGAGAGCTTGCTGTATAAACATGAGGACCTAAGTGTGAATCCTCAGTACCCATGTAGAAAGCTGGTCATGGCCATGCACACCTGTAACCCCAGCACTGTGGGGGATGGAGACGAAGGTCACCGGTGCTTGCTGGCTGCTCTCCTGGGAGTAAGGCAGGGAGTGTTAGAGGAAGACATCTGGCACCTCCTCTCATCTCAGTACACAGGTGCACACCTGCCTCAATTAGCTCAACACATACTTAGTCACACAAAACAACAACCACAACAGCTACCAAAACCCCAAAGGGGACCACTCTTAAGGAATGATATCTGAAGTTGACTTCTGGCTTCCACATACATGCACACACACGCGCACATGAACATACCCAATATCAAAAGACATGTGAATTGAGAAGAAAAACCAACAACAAAAGAATGTTTTTTCCCCCAGAAAGTATTCTCGATTTTTATTAGAGTATTAAAAATCAACAGCATCTCATCTTTTGTTCATCAAAGGAATAACAATGACTCCTAAATAGGAAGTGAATTTCATGGGGTCTGGGAGCATGTGGATGGAGAGAGAATCTGCTATGGTCGGGGAGGTGCCTTAGGTGCCAACACTAAACACTGATTAGGAAAGAATGACAGCCCCCCCCCATACACTCAAGGACATGGGCTTTGTTTTAAAAACACAAATTTGATACTGGAGAGCTAGACTCTGGGTTGGGGCTAATCAGGCCACACTCACTCACAGCAGCTGTTCTTCTCACAGCCCCTCAGCCACTGACCAGCCCCTTTCCAGCGGAGAATCTGCAAGAGACTCCAGGAAAGAAACATATTCTCAGACCTGGCACTGCCCAAGCTATGCCCATCTGCAGCCCGCTTTACCTCCTCAGTCGATTTTTGGGTGACAGACACTCCACCCAGAGCCTTTGAGTCTGTAAGCAAACTCCCCTGGATGCCAGAATAGCAGATGTCACTTCCCTTTTGGACCAGGTTGCCGGTTTCTGGAGCACCAGAGGACCACCTGTGGTGACACATTCTTCTAACAGACTAGAATACCAGAGGGCTACCCTTGGTGACACATCCTACACCTGTATAATGGGTACATCTCAAGAGTTGTATACTTCCCTCCAAGTCCCCCAAATCCTTAGAGTCCCACATTCCTATTCCAGGATACCTTCCGCCCCCCCCCCCATGTGCCCTACAACCCACAAATCAGAGACAGATTGACCATGTAAAACCTGTCCCTTCCTGTAAGACCTACAAGCTATCTGTAGTGAGATAGTCATTCTGTGGCACTGACCACGCCCATTGGGGGGTGGAGCCATGGGCAGATGGGACCTGTGGAAAGAGGTCTGAGAGGGAGCCAGGAAAAGCTCTCTGGCTGGTGAGACTTGGACAGGAGAGCATCAGGTAGAATTTCCTGGTGTTCACCTGTCTAGGTTGTAAGTTATTTCTCCCTGAATAAACATCTATTCAGCCTATTTGTTTATCCTGATCCTTATTTAACCGTGATGGATATCAGCCCTGGCTTATGAGCCTGCACTCCCTTTAGAGCCTGTCTGTCTATGGCGTTTGAGTTAATAGCTCTTCTAATGGACCTCTTACTCCAGAGGATGCTAGGCCTTCCAGGAGGGATCTGAGTGATCCGATAGGCTACAAAGGAGAGACCTAGTTTGTGGAGACCCCTATCTTCCAAGCAGGAGGATCCTTATTGTCACTTTTCCTCCCTTCAGCCCTGAATTCACCATGTGTTTTCAGCAAAGGCAGCCGTTTTGCTTGGTCACTGTTTTGTTGGAGGATCTCATAGAGCACAGGTATGAAAGTCTTCACCCTCTTGCCTCCACCTCCTGATTGCTGGGACTGCACACATTGCCGCCACACCTGGCTAGTGGTTTTTGATATGAAGTTAACTGACAGACGAGAACACAAGGGTAGGAGGAATGGGAAAACGATAGGAGGGAAGACTGACAGGAAACAGGTTTGTTGTAAGCTGTGATGTACCATCTCTGTGACAGGCAAGAGAAACCATCCTTTCCCAAGGACTCCTTGAACACACAAGAGGATCTGGGAGTTTTTTTTTTTTTTTTTTTTTTTTTTTTTTTTTTTAAATCAGGGGTGACCACTGTCTGGGAGGCTGAAGATGAAATAATGTGATCACCACTACACATTTCTAAATCTCCAGACGCAGCAACCAGAAAAAGGTTCTAAATTCTCAGAGATCTTCCCAAAATATACAATCAATCAGGGAAATATATATATATATATATATATATATATATATATATATATATATATCAAAACAAACAAAAAAAAAAAAAAAAAAAAAAACGAGAGAGTCCTGTAACCACTGATCCCCAGACTGTGAAAATATCCTTCTGGTTAAGGTTTCTGCTTTACTTCTGGGACCAAATGTTCTACTGGTCCTAACCATGGAAAAACATCCAGGTACTGGGGATGTTTTTCTATACAACTAAAGTTGGGCTGGGTGGGTAAGAGAGCACGTTTCATTAAGAAGTTCATTTCCCATGATTCCGACAACTGGGGTAGCCCGATTGTTGCTTATTGTTCAAGGCTCTGTCTGGTTGTGTCTCTGTGTTGTTCCTTGATGAGCTGATTGGTGGCCACAAGGATGAGACACAGGGCTGAGTGGAAAACTTCAGGGTGGGCCATATAAACCCAGGTTCCGGGCAGCTTGGGATATCCTGGGACGTTTCCTCTGGGGAAATGGGTAGTGAGCTGCTTTCCCAGACCTGTGCAAGTTCTTTGTGGGAGGAAGATGCTGAACACTGGCTTGTGAACTGGAGCCTGCTGCCTGGAGAGGGAGACCATCCTCCTGACTTTGACACTGGGCTGCCTCCAAGACTTTGGTTTCTTGTTGAGTCTTCTGATTGTTTTCCAACACATTAGGGTCTCCCTCTGGAGGCAGCCTGGGTTCTGACTCCACGAGGTAGCCTTTGAAGTTCCCTTGCTGGTGGAGGGTTTGAACCAAGCGATGCATCTCTAAGTATGTGTGCCATGGAGTCTCAGGAGACTGATGGCAGCTTCTGTCCACTTCCTCCAACATCCCCTCAACCTCAGAGTCAGTTTCTTCCGGGGACAATGAGCTCTTTCTGTCCTTGTTAATCCAAACAACACTGGTTATCAATTCAGCTGGAGTAAGCATGGTCCCTTCTAAGAAGAGAAGGCACAGAAGTGTCATCATTGGGAGGTCCCTGGGTAGCTTCCTTTGAGAGAAACCCATAGATTTCAGATTAAAGGATCTTAAATGCCAAGGGGACCAGACACCGGAACATTGCACATGTGTGCCCACACATGCAAACACACATGACCTGGCATGTGTGTACTCTTTCTCACACCCATGTCCTCTTCCCCAATATATAATTACAATTATTTATAATTCAACAAATAGTTATCAAACCCTATTATTTGCGAATATTCATGACCTAACAGATGGGGCTTAGTAGAGGAGAAAGGCAACAATCAATGAAATATGCTAAAAGTCCAGGTGCTAACTGGAAAATGTGCAGAGTGAGGGATCTGGGTACTTGTTCTTAAATGGGACGTCTTCACCAGGACCCTTTCAAAGCTCCAGGTGCTGTGTGGAAGAGGACCAGGGAAGACTGTAAGAGCCAGAGGAAATGGAGGATGCTGTTTCCTTGGCATTATCCATCTCCTACGGCCTCAGTCTTCTGGCTTTGCTAGGTACCGGCTCAAAGGAAGGTGGATCACAGGGACACGCCCTCCAGGGTGCCAGGATACCAGCATCTCCCCCTCTTTCTGCTTCCTGGTCACCATGAAGAGAGCACTGCCCACCACCACATGCTCCTATTGTGATATACTGTGCTGACAAAGATCTAAGACGACACAAGCAAGTGGCCCTGGAAGGAATCCTCTGGAACCATGAGCCAAAGCAGACCTCCTTTTAGTTTTTCCTTTCTGGTGTTTTGTCACATGATGGGCAGCTGATTAATATACTCCCACCTGAATTCATACGAATGCATCACAGGAGAATATTGTTCTCAGTTTATGGCATGTGTGTCCTACATTTCTGATAATGATTTTATTACCCAAGGAAGGAGGGAGGCCATGGACACTTCTGAGAAGTGCCTGTTTCTTCTCTGAATGGGCTTCAGCCTCAGTGCTAACAACTTACAGTGGGGAGATGGTACTGGGGGAATGATGTCATCAGAAAGCCCCTCTGAGGCTGTTTAATAAGTCCAAAAGAATCAGAAGATCAGATGCAGCCATTTCTGCACATGGGTACAGCATTACATGTGGCCCCAGGGAGGATGGTGAGCTGCTCACACTTAGAATTGCACTAGCTTTCGGCATGGCAAGCACACCAGCCTTCATGGTACTCAGATGCTCTGCAGGAATCTGAGGATAAGGAAAGATGGGGAGGGGCTGGAAAACATAGGAACTCAAAAACCAGAATCCTCTCTCAACTACCAGGAGAAGGCGGTGGCCTCAGGGACAGACATTCAGGTCTTCATAGCAGGACCTCTTAACTGTCAGTTCCAGTCTGCGGTTCATACAGGTCAAAGAGAAAGAGAGAAACACACACACCACATATATACATACTCACACACCACACACACACACACCACACCACATGTATACATACTCATACCACACACACACACACACCACACCACATGTATACATACTCATACCACACACACACACACACACACATACTCACACCACACAAACACACATGCCCACACACATACACACACACACCCCACATGTACACATACTCACACCACACACACATACCACATATACATACTCACCCCCCCACACACACACACGAACACAGAAGGAGCTGGGAAAGGGAGGGTCCAGAGCGAAGAAGAGGGAAGATAGATACCCAAGGCCCCTAGCCATATAGTGGAAACTTCTGCAGCAGCGGCTACCCACAAATACTTTAGAATAAGTTCTACCTTCAATCTTTAAGCTAAAGAGAATATCAGAGAACACAAAAGTTTTTCCTTTCATTTTAAAACCCTTTAAAGGTTAGTGTTATTTGATGCGTGTGTTTTGCCTACATGTACCTATGTGCACCACATGCGTGCCTGGTGTGGGAGTGCCAGATGGTTGTGAGCCACCTCGTAGGTGCTAGGTGCTGTAATGGACCCCGGGTCTTCTGCAAGAGCAACAAGTGCTCTTAACCGCTATCCCCTCCCCCATGTCTTATCTTTACACCAGTTTTGGTTTGATGTGGTCTGTAGGGGGACTGGGATGGTAAACCCAGGCTTTGTTCCAAGGCTGTGTGCATAATCACTCCATTCTATGATGTGATCCCTATCACTGTGGAATGAACTCTGTCTCCCTAGCCCTGAGTTCTGGCCCAGCCAGTTCCCAGAACAATGGAAGCAGCCATTTTTCTTACCCAAAGCCTTTCTCTGTGTTTTGCACTTGGATCCAGTAAAAAAGGCTGACCCTCTGTCATCACCCCCTTATCCTAGCAGGGGGCCAAGCCCACTCACCAGACCAGTCTAGCCAGATCAGAACTAGGAGAAAGAAATAGGCACAGAGACCGGGAACGGTGGCCATGGGCCAAATGCCTGGCAGAGGCCTCTGTTTCTTTGGTTAAGGGATATCCTGGGCAAGGCCACCCCAATCTAGCCTCCCTGGCTCAGTTCTGACTGGGTCAGCAGCGGCTTTTCTTTTCCTCTTCAGGAGACCGGCCCAGTCATGGTCCTGCCCTCCTTGGACTTTCAGTCTCCTGTCCCACCCACAAAAGAGCCTTTTTCTCCAGAACTAGCCCTACCTTTAGGGAACACCATCAGGTGGGCCTGGGTCCTCTGCTGTCTCCTCAGACCTTCATACTGGGCTCGAAGGAACTGGATGTTGATAGCAGGCGCTTGACCTGCCACCTGAGTCCGGGAACCTTCAGCCATTAAGCAGGCCCCCAGCGCCAAGAAGTTGGGTAGGGCAGGGCACGGGCAAGCCAACCCTTTCATCCGCATCCGGGAGAAAAGCAAACACTGAGGGCTGAGGCAGGGGGAGGGGAGGGTGGGGGGAGAAGGGTAGGTGGTAGAGTGAACCAGAAGGAAGGGAGCTGGGAAAGGAGAGAAGCTGGGAAGATTAGGAGAGAGGGAAGAAGAAATCGAAGGGACCAGAATGGGGAGGTGGGAAGAGGAGGAATGAGAAGCAGCAAAGGTTAGTTCTCAACTCAAGTGGAAGGTTTGGGGAGGGGCCAGAAAGGGGGAGCATGGGGAGAAGGAAGGAGTGAAGTCACGAGGAGTTAAGGGTAGAGGTGAGGGTAGAGAGTGCGAGGAAGCGGGGTGGGTAGGAGGAGGTGAGAGAGAAGTAGAGGGTAGGGGCGAGTGGTAAAGGGAAAGGCAAGCGTAGCTGCTGGGATCTTTGTGGCAGCCCAAGGAGCTTTTATTCTAACTGCTTCACCCGGTGATGTGAAGAATGCGGTTCCAAGAGCTACAGTGAGATTCCAGTTTCCCTGACAGAGCTGAGCTGGGCTGAGCAGTGCCAGGCACCCGCTTGGCACAGGGCTTGAACTTAACAGGTCATTAAAACCTGTTGGTTTAATGAGCAACCGTCACAAAAAGAAACACCTTCAGCTGCCTTAAGAGCTGCGACTCGTGCTGTGTACAGGACCACCCTAAGGTCTCCATGCAGCCCCCAACACACTTCCCACGTAAAAGCCCAGCCACAAAGTCTACCATGCAGACAGAGTCCAGGGGAGCGCGGGCTACCCGCCAGCCAGCCCCGCCTCTTTGACATTTGAGCTGTCTCTGTGGTCTTGACCTTTTCCAGCTAAACAATAAGTGGGTGTTTATCTTGCCCCCGGCTATGGGGACCCTCAGCCCCTGTTTGCCAGCCCCACCACTTCTTTGAATGGCAGACACTTCTTAAGCTAGCCTTGACCTGTCCTTGCTCTACTTGCTCAAGTAAGTTCTTTTTTTTTTTTTTTTTTTTTCTTTTTCTTCTAATGCAATGTTTCCTACTGGCCACCTGGCCAGCACCTCTTGCAAAGCAATGGGTGGGGAGATGGGAAGAGTAAATCTTCAGTGGGCAGCATAATTAGTTCATTTGGGGGCTGTTATAACAAAGGCCCACAAACTGGGTGGTTCTCACAACAGACATTGGCGTGTTTGTTTCACAGGGACCAGGACAGGAGTCCAAGATCAAGTGTGAGCCCAGACAGTACTTCTGGGGAATGTGTGGGATAGTCTGTGCTACACAGCTTGTTTAGCTTCTATTGGCTTGCTCTTGCTACTTGGTGATCTTTGTTTGATGAAGGAATCTCCTCACCTTAGTCTCCTTGTGAAGTTCTCGTGCATGTGTCTGTGGACATTTCCCCCTTTTAAAAAAGGATGCCAGTCGTTGGAGTAGTGCTTAACCTAATAACCTCATCTTTGTTTTTGGTTTGGGATGGGATTTTTTTTTGCCATTTTTTAATATATATATATGTATATATGTATATATGTATATATGTATATATGTATATATGTACACACACACACACACACACACACACACACACACACATTTTTCTCCACTCCTTTCCCAATCTTATCATAATTCAACTAAATTAAGTTGACAATAAACTTACTTCCAAGTAGGGCATGTTGTAAGCTCTGGATTTAGGATTTCAGTAAGTGGACTGGGGTTAAGGGGACATGATTTAGCGAATGACAGGTAGAACATGACAGTTCCATTCAGAGAGACAGGAAGGAGAGGAGATGACAAGGGGGAGGCAGGAAACAGGGGGATTAGCTTTAGGTGTTATAGTTGGGGGTCTCTGACCCTTTCTGGCAGCAGGAGGGGGTTGGATGCTTGATGGGGAAATCTCACTGAAAATGCCATTGTTTGTGAAAAATGATAGATTATTTTTGGAAAAGTTCCATTGTTAGGAATATATAGAATAAAGAGCTGACCCTAGATCGACCCTCCCTCCCTGTCTCCCTACCTCCCTTTCTTCCATTCACGAGTTTTATGTGCATATTTGTACGGGTGCACACGCACCTGTGTGTATGTGTGTGCATGTGTGCTTGGCAATCAGAGGTTGATGGAGACGTCCTCAATCACTCTCCACTCTGTTTATGAGGCAGAGTCTCCTGATGACCTTGGAGTTTGTCTAGGCTGATTGGCCAAAATGCTCCGGAATCTGCAGGTTTCTATGCTCGAAGTGTTGGGTTTACAGACTTATATCACTGGTCTTCCCTTTAAGTGAGGCTGGGGAATCTGTGTTCAAGATTGCGCAGCAATCACTTAACCCACTGAGCCATCTCAGCTTCCCTTTCTTCTTTCTTTCCTCCCTCCCTCCCCCTTCCTTCCTTCCCTCCTCTTCCCTTCCTCTTTCCCTTCATTCCTTCTTTTCCTCCCCCTCCCCCCCCTTTTTTTTTAACTTTTGAGACAGTTTCACTCTGTATCTAGACTGGCCCTGAATTCATGGCTATCTTCCTGCTTCAGACTCCCACCCCCACCCCAAATTCTAGGATTATAGACTCACTGCCATGCCTGGCTTTCTTTCTTGTTAGTTTCTCATTAGCATGTTCATGTTTGAATTTGGCACACGAAGAAGTCCTCCTTCATGCTCTCCTACTATCGATTTCCTCCTCTCCTATCCTGAGCTTTATTTCTCTTCTGTGGTGGGGAAGTTCATGGCAGACATTGTTCACATTAAGGCACACGAGGAAGCAGAGTGATGGGAATCAAAGGTGGGTGTGGTGATTAGAAAGAAAATGGTCCCCAAAGGGAGAGGCACTATTAGGAGGTGTGGTCTTGTTGGAGTAGGTGTGGCCTTGCAGGAGGAAGTGTGGCACTGTCTAGGTGGGCTTTGAGGTCTCAAATATGCTGAAGCCACACCCAGTGTCTCAGAACACTTCCTGTTGTCTAAGCAAGATGTAGGACTCCCAGCTATCTCTCCAGCACCATGTCTGCCTGCACACACTATGTTGCACCATGATGACAATAGACTAAATGTCTGAAAATGTAAGCCACCCCAATTAAATGTTTTCCTTTGTAAGAGTTGCCATGGTCATAGTGCATCTTACTAAGGCAGTAGGTATAACCCCCAATAACCATCCCCAACCCAACTAATGACCAACTCCCAAACACTCCATAACCTCTTGAGACAGTGTCCTAAGTTGCAGACCATGCATTAAAGCACTCAACCCATAATAGGTGGCCAAAGATGGGGAGGACAGAATGTCCTTATCTCCCCTATGGAGTAGCACCTGAGTGTCTTTTGTGGAAAATTGCTTGTCTTCCTGGGGACACAGTAAAAGCTCCACTGTTGAATGCCTCCCCTGAACATTCTTATCAATTGGTCTGGAGTAGTATCAGGACATTTGTACATTTCTACAGTTACTTGTGTTACAGGGAGCTCACCAGAGATGACTGACTAATACAGTGTGTAGCCAATTAGACGTCTTTATTCCAGTTGGCTGGGACCACACCCAAGTGTCCAGGTGCGGCCTCGAATGTCTAGAACATGTTCTTTGTTTTTAAGCAGAAACCACATCCTGGCAGCTTGCTCGGCAGGAGCTGCAGGGCAGCTTTGAAGAAGTAAGCAGTTTGCAGCAAGTAGACATAACAGAAGCTAAGATAGTTAACTAGGACTTCCTGACCTTTGGTTCCTAGATAGTTAGGTAACTTTTCATGCATAAAGGAGATAAGATTCTAGCTAAACCCAAAATGGCCTTGGTATGAATACAAGATGGAGGAACCTCTGCACCTGTCATGCCTTGTCACACCCACAGTGGTCGTAGGAGTGCCAGCTGTGGTATGGAAAGACTCGGTCAAGAAATATACCAGAGCTGACAACCTCACAAACCACAAGTTCTCAGCCTTCCAAAATAAGGTTCCTGCATCTGCAATGAGGATAGGGCTGAGAGATGTGTGAAGACAAAGGCTGCATACACTGAGCTCCAACTAGTGGATCAGAATGAGTTGTTGCAGGGAAATGTGCACAAGTTTTACTATTTTAATTATTTTTTTAAATGCAGGATTTAAGAGTGTGTGTGTGTGTGTGTGTGTGTGTGTGTGTGTGACATGGTAAACACACACATGGAAGTCAGATGACAGGTTTTCCAGAATGGATTCTCTTTTGCCTTAGTTTTTGCTGAGGGCTCCTCTGGCTGTTTCCGCCACCATGCAGTGTACTCCAGGCTGGCTGGTCAAACTCTCAGTCAGTTAGTTCTCCTGTCTCTGACTCTCTTGCCAACACAGGTGTGCTGGGATTGTAGACGCATCCTGCTGAATCTGGCTTTGTACACGGGTTCTGGAGACGGAGCTCAGGTCCAGGATTGCATGGCCCGTGCTATCATCTGCTGAGTAAACTTCTTTTCCCGTGTGTTTAAACTCTATGGAACATGTGGATGCGTACAGACAATATTAATTGTTTTATAGCGTTTTGTCTTAGAATTTCTATTGCCCTGATGAAACGCTGTGAAACCTGGGAGGGAAGGGTTTATTTTACTTTCACTTTCGCATCACAGTATAACCCTGAAGGAAACCAGGACAGAAAGTTGGAGGCAGGAGCTGATGCAGAGGCCATAGAGGAGTGCTGGTTACTGGCTGGCTTCCCATGGCTTGCTCAGCCTGCTTTCTTATAGAACCTAGGACCACCAGCTCTGGCTGACCTCACTCACATGGTCTGGGCCTCCCCCATCAATCTCTAATTAAGAAAATGCCCTACAGTCAGGTCCTATGGAGGCATTTCCTTAATTGAGGTTCTCTCGATTCAGATGTTTTTAGCTTGTGTCAAGTTGACATAAAACTAGCCAGGACATGCATGTTTCAAAGGCATTAAGTACATTCATAGTATTACACCTTTTAAAAAAAATGAAATAATTGTCCATTGTGTGGGCACACCGTATTTTATTTATCCATTCATGAAGTGGTAGACATTGGCTTGTTACCTTTTTTTTTTTTGGACATACAGGGTGTGAGCAGAGAAATCTAGTGGTATGTTACATATTGCCATTACCTTGAGTGTATAATTTAAACATTATAAATATATATTTCAAAACTAAGCCTATGGCCAAAAAAAGTACAATTATTTAGCACATTTGTTAAGGATCAATACGAAATGACTTTTGAACATTAAAAAGAAAAAGTCATGGAATTAAGCAGCAGGAACCATTACTAATCTAAAACTCCGTACACTGAAGGTAGAGGTGTCTGAGCAGAGCTAGCCACTCATTACAGCAATCAGAAGAGATGGGAGCAGGCACACCTATTGGAGGTGGCACAGAGCGGCCAAGCAGGAGAGCTGGGTTCATCAGGTGAGCATGTCCCAGAGGCAGCAGCAACAGAGAGCAGTCCAGCAGGCCGTGAGGCAGGTGATGGGCCCAGGTC